CAGGCTTTCTTCTCGGGGCCCCTTCAGGGCCTCCCTTTCCCTCCCCCCAAGCCCATGGCCACTGCCCACTCCAGGCTGCCCCTCTCAACCCTCAGCACCCCACCCTGGGGAGACCTCCTGCTCTGCACCCCCCTCTGACTGGGTCCTGCTTTTCCTGCAGCTCCAAGACCCGCGGGAAGGCCAAGGTCACCGGGCGCTGGAAGTGAAGACCTGGGTCTGCTCCTCATTGCGTCCTGGCCCTGCATGCCCCCCACTCCTGGGGCCCTCCTGGCACAGGGGGGGGGGTAGCTCCTGTCTGGACACCAGGAGGGGCCCAGCTGGACGCCGCTGCACACGACTGTATCCCACATGCCCACACCAGTAATAAAAGCCGCTGCACACCGAATGGCATTTCTGTCACTTTTTCTGTCTCACCTGGCAGGTAGGGGGCGGGACAGGAGAGCCCTCCCTCACCTTGCCAGGTACCAGGGCCTGAGTCCCCGGGAGACCCGGGCCCTGGAGGAAAGGGTGTCCACACGAGTCCAGACTGAGGAAGAGAAACTCAAGAGCCAGCCTCTGTTGACTGTCCCCGCCCCAGTGGCTGCCCCAGTCTGTGCCAGGGCAGGATGGAGGTGGCAGGGCCCACTCCCAGGTGGGCTCCACCCCTGACTCCACAGCTGGTTTCTGGAGAGGGTGGGGCAGGTCCCACCCTGGGCGGGGGGCTGAGGTGTCCTCTCTCAGGCATAGGTCCCAGGCTGGGGTGGGGGCTGGCTGGAGGGCAGGGCAGACCGGAGCCCGTCTCTTCTCTTCCCTACCCCAGAAAGCCTCTCCTTCCCTCTCTGCCAGCCCGACTTCTCCCATCCCCGAGGGCCTGCTCGAGTCCCTGATTTCCCAAGAAGTCTTTGGGGGCCTCCCGAGCACCTGTGGCTTCCCTGGGCAATGCCCCCATGCTCCCTGTAGGACCCACACTGAAGGCCCAATCCCTCTGGGCTGGGAATTCACAGAAACAGGGTCTGGGTGCCCAGCCCACCCTCACCTCCGGGCCCCACCCGCCTGCTCATCCCGGGTTCTCAGCCCCCACCCAGCAGCTAAGAGGTGAAAACTGCTGGCCACTGCAGACTTTGGGGACGCTGTCTCCTTGCTGGTGGGGAACGCCCAGGCCCCAGGGCCTGCCCTGCCCATAGCCCTGCACTCAGGCCTCGGCCACACCTGCCATACACCCTAATCCCAAAGCAGGTTCCCTGGAAAATCAGGCCGGGGCAGTGCAAGTCTGGAGGCGGCAGCGGGGTTGGGGCTGCTCTTCAGGAACATGGAGGGTGGCGGGAGGTGGTGCGGTCCCCTGGCGGCTCGGGGCTGGGATTGTGCTGACACCAGGGGTCAGGGAGACCTGCTGAGCATAAGTGGCCTCACCCCTCTCCTGTCCCGTCCACCCCTCCCCTGCCAGTTCCCCAAAGGAGACGGCCCCCGGATGCAGGAGGCAGGAGGCCGCTTGGGGTAAAGAACAAGCACAGTTTCCCCGTCTAAGCTTGACACAGGGGCCCCTCTGGCTCCGTATATCTGCCGCCAACTAGCCCTACTGTGTGCCCAGCGCTGTGCTGAGGACTTTACATGTATTCCCTAACTACAGTAACTGCACAGTTAGGGCTACATCACCATAAGCCGGCTGCTTCATGACCAGCGTGCTCACTGCACCGGCCTGTCCCGTGTGGACTCGGACACCCCATACATTCCACACGGATTGTGTATTTATTTTATTTTTCTATTTCTACTTGTCAGTGACAGGCAGCACACACGATTGCGTTGGCTTCAGATGCACAGTGGTGATTATCAACACATTTAGGAAGCACAGACGCCACCCAGGGGAGGCGCCCACCCTGACCTAGCCCATCCCAGCCCGGCCCCTAGGCTAGTCTGTGCTGGGCATCGGTGGGGCTGGGAAGGTGGGAATATGAAGGGGACCAGGATGAGGTCTTGATCACCGCGATGGGACTGGCTAGCAGGACAGGGTTTCCCCGGGGTACACTTCCCCGTCCCCACTTCCTGAGGTGAGGAGCTAAGGCTGGTGGTGCAGGTGAGGTGAGGGGTCTGGCGGAGCCACCTTGCCCAGGGTCTGCGGGCAGGGTGTCCTCACCAGCTTTATTTAGCTTTGAGTCTCCAATGCTCTTGTCCTGGACAGTGCATCCCCGAGAAGGCTGTACCCGGCCGGATGGCCACAGTAAAGGAAGGCGTAACCCCCACCTGCCCGGCAGGGAGGGAGGGGGGGACTTCTGCAAATCCCGCACCTGGGCAGGGAAGGGCACACAGGGCGGGAGAAACAATGAGGGACAGTGGCATTAAACGGCACGTCGAGTTTGGGGACATGCCTGGCTCCGGCGGAGCGCAGGTGTGAGTGTGTGGTGGGAAGGAGAGGAGATGGAGGCGGATGGGCCAGCCTGGGAGCTGGGGGCCAGTCTAAGAATTCTCCCTTCAGAAAACCGGGAGCTGGCCGACATTTTTAGGCAAGAAAGAATATAATCGGCCTTGCTTTTTGTGGCGGCTCTGGTGGTGGCTGGGGGGGTGGGGAACTGGAAGGGAGAGGCCGGCCAGGAGGCACTGCCAGCTTGCCGTGGGCAAGGCCAGGCTTGGCGGTGGCCCAGGCTAAGACACTGGCGGTGGGCATGCAGACAAGGTGACAACCTGGTGCCCCGACGGGAAAAGACGCACTGAACCTGAGCTTCTTGCTGGGTGACTGAGCGGATGGGCATCGCATTGGTCTTTGTCTTTTGTTTCTCAAAAGCAAACAAGCCGAAGAAGTACAGAACGTGTGGCTCCGGCTGGTTTTGTAAAAATATGTTTTTTATTGATTTCAGAGAGAGGAAGGGAGAGAGAGAAACATGGACGATGCGAGAGAGTCATTGATCGATTTACCCCAAATAATCCACTGCTTGAAAAGGTCACAGAAACGCCAACAATTTATTGATTTCCTCTATTTCCAAAAAAAAAAAAGCAAATACATAGCGTGCCACACAGGCCGACGGGGCCCGGCCAGCCCAGAGCCCTGATGCCCCCTGCCCGTCCCACCTCCCAGCCAGGCTCCGAGGTGAGCCAGAGAGTGTCCCACTGCCACGGAGTCCCCGAGACAGGTGTGGGGGCTGCACTGCTTGTCTGGTCCCCACGGGACAGGGCTGCCGGCCAGTGACTGGGTGTGTCTTGGGGGACATCCTGGTGGGACCAGGCTCACACGTGGGACCCAGGAGGGGGGTGAGCCAGGACCTTCTGTCAGGCCCACAGCACCGAGGACACCTGGCCCCGTGGCCGGTCATCCCAGGTCTGCCCCAGGTGTCCAGCCTCCGTTCAGAGAGGCGTCTCCGTGCTGACTGCTGGACTGGGGATGGTGCAGAGTGGGGGAGACTGAGGGGTGGAGAGGAGCGAGGGGCGCCTTCGCCTCTCCTAGAGAAAGGACACGGGCGGGCTTTGAATTCCCTCCTGACGCCCCGAGGCCAGCCAGTGTGTGGAGGCTGGGACAGGGACACCCGGGCACCTGCCTTCTGCTCTGTCCCCAGTACGTTGAGGCCTATTTACAGCAAGATTTCCCCAGGGGGTCCTGCCACGACCCATCTGAAATGCGCATGAGGCTGGGGTCTCGGGTATGGCTGGTGCCCTGGACAGGCCTCTTTCTGCCCCAGCGGAGCAGAGACAGGCTGCTGGGGCTCAGGGGGAGGTGGGGACCTCTGGCTGGGACGTGGGCTTGTGGGCGGCCTAATAGGACAGTCCCTTTGCTGGTCTAGTTTTCCTTTTCTCCAAGTGCCCTGAACCCCAAACCCTCCCTCACTGGAGCCTCCCAGGCACCCAGCCCCAGCCTGTCTCCCTCCCCACAGGGAAGATGAAGACCCAGCGGCCATTCCCTGGACAGCCCTTTGGCTCTGGCATCATTTCGCCTTTTCTCCTGCAACAGGTGCCTTACGATTAGTCAGGACACAGCCGAGGACACAGCGAGCCCCCTCTCTCTGGCCCCCACTCCCCCAGGAGAGACCTCACTTAGCAAAACAGGCGTGGCTGTCCCCGCCTGTCTCCTAGGGCCCCACACCCTGCCTGGCCCAGCCCTGTGGCTCCGCGGGACGGTGGCATCGTCAGAAAAGCAGACTTTCCCGAGACCCACGAGCCTCGGCGCTCCGGCCAACCTCCCTCCCCGCAAAGCTGCCGCCAAAGGGGGAAGGTTCGCCCCTGGGAGACGGGCCCCGCGGGCCCCCGGGGCAGCTGCCACACAGCACACGCACTGGTTTAAGGGTAAGAAACACAGGGGGCCACCGTCCGTCAGCCTGCCTGGCATTCTGCGGTTCTCGGCCAAGCCCGTAGGCGCTCACGCACACACACGCGTGCACACACACACACACACACGCACTTCCATTGTACACACATGCATATATATATGCCATTTCTCAGCAGAAGAAATATCGACATCAGAAAAAGCCCCCTTAACTCAAGAAA